TCCATTTCCATGGTATCGGCCACAGCTTCAGAGCCAATTCACAAAAGAGTAGACAGACCCTCTGTTCCTCTGGCCTTTCCTAAACAATCACCGTCCTTCCATCTGTTCATCATCATCCGTAACTTGCGTCATATTGCTTCTTCTGGATATATGTTTCCAAGAGACATTTTAGTTAGTTATTCCAGTTCCTCTTCCCAGAGTTCAGAATCACTGAATAAGCAGGCTTCTTATGACCAAACTTCTGATTATTCCAATCTTCATTCCATAAATATGGTTAGAGTGGAGGTTAAGAGTTATTCCAGCATGCGATTTCTTTAGAAAAAGTCGTTTGTTCACAGTTCTCTTGGAGCGAATGACCTACACATAAGGGAAGGGGAAGTGTCCATTTTCTTCCACATCCATGGTAAATTTGACTTTTTCATTCACTTTACTTATGAAGATCTGGAAATCGTATAAATTCCTCTTCCATGTGATCGGATTTCAAAGTAGTCATCAAAATACCGCATAATTACTGTTGGTTGCTGAGGTGACACTTTAACATTCTCCTCTAACTTGTCCATAAAGGCATTAGCCAACAGAGGTGAGAGTGGGGAGCCCATAGGCAGACCAAATATTTGCTCATCGATGCGACCGGTGAACATGAAATAAATCATTTCCAAAGTCCGGACTAGGTGCTTTCCTCTAAGTCTTCCTACCAATATGACCAGGTTGCGAAAACAAGGTCAAACAACTTATATATAACGAAAGGAGACTGCTACCACACAAAAGGCCACACCATCTTGGTCTTCATACCTTCGATGAAATAGATCGTTATCATTGTTAGGCTGATTAATTGGGTTAGAGGTTCTTTGTAGATTTGCTCCATCTCCATGATGCCAGTTTATTTTTCCAAGATCACCATTAGTGCCGTAAGTGCTTTTTAAACTAAGTTGTTGATGTACATGAACTGTACATCAAAGTGCACCAAAAGTTGGTTTGCTCCTAAGCTGATGCCTCTGATTCGTAGGGATAAAATTCATATGGGTTCTTCCCTCTATTCGATAATCTGTAATTCGATATCTTTGATTTGAGGAAGATAAATTTCGCTAATTTATGCGTGGGTCCATGTTTGTTGTTTACTATAAGTCTCCATGGTTCTTCTTCTTACTGTACCTTCGGCAAACCTTAGGCTACTTGAGCTCTTGCATCCTTTAGAATGAGTGAGTTAATTGTCCAGAGTGGAGTGCTCCGGAATTTACAGCATAAACTGTAAATAAAAATACATAGGAGAAACGGGAAGGAAAGTCAGCACAAAGATCAAGGAACACTAGCGACTATGCAGAAAAATAGATACGGATAAGTCGGAGATAGCTGAATACGTCGCCCCAATACGCCACACGATTGACTGGAAAACAACGGAAAGACTAGCCTCATATGGGGAAGACAACAGGAAACGGAAGATCAGGGAGACTGTGGACATACTCTTCCAAAGAAACCTGAAGAACATGAGATTAAAAGCGATAATTTCGCGTACTACCTAGTCAGACTTGGAGATTCAAAGAAGACATAAAAAAAGACGCTTGGATCCAGGACAACTGTTCATCAACATGAAGAGACATCACCAAGGAGCGGCCATGAGGCACAAAGGGAAGTCAAGAAAAGGCGATTGAAGTGAGAAGAGTAAAAACTGGAATCGGCCGAAAAAGTTTACCCGGGGGATCTACCTGTGAAGTGAAGAATACGATATTAAAGGCTAAAGCTATAGTTGGGTCAGATATAGATAATCTGAAGCAGAGGTGATTGATGAAATGCTTGACCACGCGGGATACATGCCAAAAACGTATGAACATCGTAGTATCCTAGGTTTAGATGGGAGAGTCAACTTGAAGGGATTCAAGGGAAAAATAGGGAATAGGTGTATTTTCACACTAGCGATTAGGACTTTAGCCGGACATAGGACCCCAAAGAGTGAGACAAAATGTAAATGTGGATGAGGAAAAGGGTAACTAAGTAATGGGTTTGAAGCCTAAGGAGAAGAATCCCAGGTTCTAGCATAGGCATGGGCATCATCTGCTCTAAATCCTCGAATATGGCGTAATCGAGGACGGGAATTAAAGGCAGTCAGAGTTAAGACAACCAAACAGTGATTTTAATGTTTGGCAGCGACAAAATGACAAGCTGGTGAGAAAAAATGTGGTGCGGAATGTTGGTCATGAGTTTTGCAAGCGGAATTTTGTACCAGTGCTGGAGATTATTACGCTTCACAAAAGCCACTTATGGCGATACACTCTTAGGCGACGTAGGAGGAAACGAGAGCACAGAATTGTGCGAATAAGTGGACGGGCGATATGAAGTGGGTTTGAGAGAATGAGATGAGGCACTAAGTGGAACAAAAAATAGATGCGAAGAGTTATGCCTCAACTTTTAAACAGAAAATTGTATTAACTTGTTAACTTTGTGCTAACGATGAGGCCTCTCAATTACGATGTCGACTACGATGTCCGCGAAACGTTTGGGAATGTACCAAGGCAAAAGTTCGATGTTTGACATCGCGAATACTATGGCACAGGACACATGACTAGGTACGTTGCACAAGGTCTCCCTGACGCCCTGATTGATTTGCGAAAACGAGGTCAAACCAACACAAAAAATCTTTGGTTCGAGGTGATCCTTGCTGATCTCCATCTATGTGCAAGCAATACCCGCTGGGAGCTCCAGCAGCTCGTAACCCGTAGCCAAATAGACACGATTCGGCCTAGTCTTCAAAGAAAGTAGTCAGTAACGCCTCTTCTTTTATGCTCTTTTGTGTTCTTCTAGCCTTGAACCACTAGTAAGGAATGTATCCGTGTGAAAACTATGCCAAATCAACTATATTTTGGGCTAGTGAGACTGGTAAGCTAGGCGATTTCTACACCTGAGATACCCAGCGGGACAACTTGTTCTGCCTAATGATTAGGGCTAAAGAAGGACAATCAAGGTTTGGAGCACCAAGAACTACAGAAACGAGCTTCCACCTTGTAAACTGAATTGTAAATAAGGCATTTATTCCGATCAAAAAGTCCCACTCAATCCACATAGAGGTGCCGATTTGAAGTTAACATAGAAGCAATACCCAACCAACCTAGAGGCCCTTAACGAAATATGGAGGGAGGTAGTTGGTTGCTAATAGATAAATTAACTGTAAATAAAATAAAAAATAATTATAGTTACAAATCATACTAATAATAAAATTATTATTTATGAATATATATTATATTGTTATATTATTATATAATGATGATGATAATTCATTAGTAAATTACGATTAACGACTAAATTATAATTATTATAGATAAGAAGACCAAGATGGTGTGACCTTTGTGTGGTCGAGGTCTCCTTACATTATAAAGAAGTTATTTAACCTTGTTTGCACAACTTGGTCATATTGGTAGGAAGACTTAGGGGAACGCAACTAGTCCGGAGTTACTTCCCACACTCTGCGCCTGGGAGACTAACTTGAGGCGAAAGGCCCTGCGTAATTCTCATCGTCAAGCCTTTGCTTCATGGACCCCGTCTATGATAAAACAGACCTACTGTCAGCCAACTAGCTATAGTAGTGCCGGGTCTATCCTGTTTCTATCCCTAATACCAAGTTTATGACTTCCTATGTTATAGTCTCTTGTGTGCCAACCCACAAATTTTGTGGTTCAATATTGAACCTAATCAAAGCAAGCAGTACTACAATATCCATGGTTTGGCACACAAGAAAGAAGAGCATAGAACGTCATAGACTTGGTATTCCGGATAGAATCAGGATAGACGCGGCGGAGACTATAGCCATTTGGCTGACAGTAGGTCTGTTTTACCATAGACGTAGTCCATAAAGCAAAGGATTGACCATGAGAATTACACAGGGGTTTTAGCCTCAAGTTAGTGTCCCAAACGCAGAGTGTGGGACATATCGCCTCGAGTAGCACAGATGAGGTGGCAGGGGTCGGGTGAAATACTTGAACCAGCGAGATAGCTGACGGATGCGACGAAGCAAGAGGGAGACTCTGATAAGACCTATTGAAGGGGGACGGCGTAACAATAGGGCAGAGTCTGATAGACATTCTGAGCACAAGGGTGAGGGTGGGTGAGAAAGCCAGCGTGGAGTGTGAAAAGCCGCTCAAAAAGAGCACATCATACTTTATTAAAATAAGTAAGTAAAATTGTGATAGTGAAGGCGTGATACGAGGATATAGGATTGGTGATTAGCTCAGGAAGGAGAGATACCACGATTGATTAGAAGACAATTGGTCAAAGTATCGGCATCACTTGTCTCTTTGACGAATTGTGGTGTGGTGCTAAGAATGGCAAGGCTCACTGACGATGTCGATTACGATGCCGGCGAAACGTCTTGGAATACACCCTGTCTACGATCCCACTGGAGATTATCATGCATACTATGTACTCTGGACAAGGTGTGTTCCTCTAGGTCTTCCTACCAATATGACCAAGTTGCGAAAACAGGATCAAAGAACTTCTATAATTATTATAGCTATTACTTAAATAATGATTAAATATTAATAAATAAGTTCATAGAAACCTTACGTCTCGCTGAATCAGCAATCTTGCCTGACGAGACATGAAATGTTGTATAAGGAGCATCCCGTTCGTTTGATCAATAGGCCGTTCGGATTTAGTAGCTGATAGGATGTTAAGCCCTAGCAAGTCATCTGCTTTCTTTATTCTCCGTTTGCTGTGGGACGGTGCCTCAGATGCCTCAGTTGGTTGCTGGGCCTTTCTTCCGGAGAGTCGAGTCATACTACTTGGTCTACTCGGACTAGAAGGATCAGTCTGACCACTTCCCGTTCCGGAGTCGGCACATGAAAAAGTGAAATGAGCAGATATCCTCTCCAGAGCTTGTTTAGAATTGGAGTTAAACTTGGCCGCCGAGGCCGGGGCTCGCTGACTCTGATGAGCTGTTGCAACGGTAGTATTAGGGGGAAGATCAGAATCAGAAGAACCAGTTAATTCCGATTGTGCCAATGAATGAGCTAGATTGGTTTGACCCAGTACGAACGAAGCAGGCCGAATGGAGAGCACCGACGAAGAGGAGGGAAGCGTTATCGTCTGCTCTTCAGGCGAAGGTCGCCTCATTAACTGTGGCGATGTCGTCGAAACATTGGAGGTTGACACCTGGGGTGAACTGGGATGAAATATCAGAGCACCAGAGGTAGTGGGAGAAAGGAAGCTGGCTTCCGGGTCGGAGAAAAGATCAGGTTTAAGTTGGCTACTGAGGCTGCCGGGAAAGAGGGGTTGGGTTCTCAGAGACGTGGAAAGCTGTCCAATTGCCCAAATCAGCCATAGATAAGGAATATGTGTAGAAAAGATTTGTAAAACAGGAAAATCCGATTAAAGACCTATGATTATTAAGCACAATCTACCCACAAATTTAATTATTAAGCATGAAAATAGCCTAAGTATCAGGTAAAAGCAATCCGTTACAACAAAACTATGGCAATTTGATACATTGATGTGAAGACTATCAAATTTAATCCTTTTGATTAAAAAACAACGCATCACAAATTAAATACACCTTTTATGTACATGGCAAATAAATAGGCATGCCACAAATTCAAGGTCTCAGAATATAAACCCACAAATAGGATAATTTGTACCCTTAAGCAGAACTACTTTGTCCCACACATCGGAGTAGCATGTTACCATCATAGTGTCGATATAGTAATGTCTGCGACTCAGTGAGCTTAGTGTCAGAACAGCGTCACGATATTAAAAATACAGGCCTAGATAACATTGGATAAAGGGAAAAACTCTGAAATCGTATCAATAAAGAGACAGTACTCATAAAAAGCAGAAAGAGGGTGTAAAAATAAAGAACGATGCCAGTAAACAAATAACTACGCTAAGTCATAAAAGAAGAACAAAAGGGTCAAAAGGCCACAAGCTTGAAATTAAAATGAAGTCGAAAAGAGTTATTCCCTTGAGTCATTTATAATTAGTGTGAAATTACCGAAAGAGCAAACAGTATGTATGCATGTGTGTGCGGTTATAAGGTTGATAGCTTAATCCATCATTTATTTTAGAAGAAAAGTACACAATAACAATCCCGCAATATTTCGTATTCCAAGAGGTTATAGTGACGATAAGTCAGTACATGTAAAATATGAATAAACGCCCCGTCGATGGAGGGAAGAACCAGAAAAAAAAGCTTAAGGAAAAATATCTTAAGCACATTGTGACGACTTTCTATTTCGAAGGAAAAGTTGGTTGTAAGGAATTCGTGAAATGGTCTCATCAGAAACCGAAGGAAGATTGCCGCGAAGATTGCGAAGAAATACTCGACTCACCATCCTGTGGCCCCGATGAACCTGTGCAAGCTTTCGTTTGTACTATCAAATACATCATCAAATCGAGAATCAATGCTTTACGAAATAGAACAAAAATATAATAATCCAAGAGAAAAGGTGGCGGGCTATAACCCTATTCAGAAGTTAAGCGAAACCTATGATAAGGAGAGGAGAAAGCTGTCTAGGTTTGTAGATATTAATTCAAAGTCCCGTCGTTATTTGGTCAGGGTTTTGACTCCGGATGGATGACAATAAATCACGTCGGATTTCTGACTTAATAACAAAAATACGCAACAATAAATTGATTAAGTATGGAACTATAAGACAGCGTAGATTAAAACTAGCGCGCCCAGTCGCAGGGGTTACCAGTCGCATATACTCATCAATAATGGAATAGGATGGTGAATTTATCCTCGCTTCCTCTTGACATTGAATTCACTACGATCCAGAACAAAGGACTAAACCTTCCTTTTCAAAATAATAGGCACCTTATAAATTCGCGCTTATGAGTCAAAAAAATTCACCAGCTTATCCCTAAAAAGCTGCATATATACTTTATATCTGACCTCTTTGATGAGGTATAAAGTGATTTGGTTAGTTCCAGTCATATGTCAATTTCGGAGCACGTGATTGTGTCTGTCTCTGTATGTGTTAGCATATGTACGAAACCAGCAGTGATGTCTCAAAGTAGTTAGGACGACAAAAGTAACGTCTGTTCTCGGTCATCAAGGTTTGATAACCACAATCACCCCCTCTCTATACATATGTTCTAACCATAACTCAGAATGCACAAGATCGGACACACGTCTGGTTATGTTGATGAGCTTTATTTTTGTCTTCATGTGAGAGTAAAAAAAGTACATGGGCTAAAAGTACAGAGGAATGATTGTGATTAGAACCAAGACAAGAAAACACGAAAAATAAGAAAAGACTAGTTGAGTCGCCTCCTTTTTGCAGGCGGCTCAGCATCCTCTCTATC